TTTCTTGCTCAAATAGGAGGCCAAGAAATTCCACTGAAGGGTCAAATGTTCACATGGGCCAACAACAGGGGGGAAGGATTTGTTGAAGTGTTCTGGACAGATCTAATATTCACTTCTTTAAAATGGCTAGAGCATTATCCAAGCACAAGCTCTGAGCTAGTTTAGAAGTGCATCGGACCACTATATGTTAGTGGTGGACTCAGGGAACACTAAGCCAAGATTTAAAAAGCGTTTTCAGTTTGACAAAAAATGGTTATGTAGACCAGATGTTACTCGGGTAGTCATAGAAGCTTGGAAGACTCCCTCAGAAGGCACCCCTATGTTCTCTGTCAAGGAAAAAATCAAGAAGGCCATGCAAGATTTGCTCACTTGGAGCAAATATTTCAAAGAGGGTGAAGGGAATAAAATTCGTAAGCTGACTATGACTTTAGAAGAAATGAGGCAGGAAGGAGGTAATCGCAATTGGGTAGTGTGGGACCAGCTGCAGAAAGAACTTGAAGATGCTTAGTGTTCTGAAGGAATATTCTGGCAGCAAAAGGCTCGAGTATTATGGCTTAAAGAAGGAGACCAGAATTCAAAGTTTTTTCATGCTTATGTTGTCCAAAGAAGATAGATGAATTCCATTTAAAGACTTTTGTCAACAGATGATATTCTTACAGAGAATCACAAGGAAATAGAGGACATTATTACTGCCTATTTTGAGAACATCTATACTTCTCAGGGAACCAGAAATGGTCATGAATTGCTGCCATTAATTTCTACATCCATACATATGACCACAACAACATTCTTCTTACCCATGTGGAGGAATATGACATTAGAAAGCAATATTCAACATCCATTCTCTTAAGGCTCCTAGAGAAGATGGGATGACATGATTATTTTATCATCACTTCTGGCCTATCATCAACAAGGATATATGTGCAACAGTCATGAGCCTCTTTGAATCGGGACAAATGTTAAGGTACTGGAAACACACCTCAATAACTCTAGTCCCTAAATGCTTAAATCCAGTATCTATTTCTCAGTTTAGGCCTATCAGTTTATGTTCTGTGTTTTACAAAGTGATCTCCAAAATTCTAGCTTTAAGACTCAGACAGTGCCTATCTGTGTGCATCTTTGAGAATCAAAATGCTTTCCTTCATGGTAGACAGCTGCTGGATATTGTGGTCATTGGGCATGAGGTATTCCATTTTTTGAATAGACATAAGAGTGAGAAAAACTATTTTATGGCTTTAAAATTGGATATTGCTAAAGCTTTTGATTGTGTTGAGTGGAAAGCAGTTCAATTGACAATGCTAAGGATGGGATTCCACAGACAGTTTGTCAAATGGATAATGACATGCATTTCTTTTCCTTCTTTCTCTGTTAACTTGAATGGCAAAAGTTGTGGATTTATATCAGCTTTTAGAGGCATCAGACAGGGGGATCATCTATCCCCCTATCTGTTTCTTATCATTTCAGAGCTTTTTTCTGCTAAGATAACTGCGGCAGTTGACAGAGGTAACTTCAAGGGCATTAGAATTTCTATATATGGGCCTCTCCTAATCCATCTGATGTTTGCAGATGATACACTCATTTTCCATAAAGCAGATGAACATCAAATTAGAGTTTTGAAGAGTATCTTACAGGCTTTCCAGCAATTCACTGGCCAGAAAGTCAGTATGAGTAAATCAACAATTTTCTTTAGCAAGAACTCTTCTTTAGCTTTACAGGATCTTTGTTGTTCACTCCTGCCTGGGATCCAAATTCACTCATCAACAGATACCTAGGGTTGCCCTTAGGTATTGGGAAATCTAAGAAGCAGGTCTTTGACTACATTGTCACAATTGTCAAGAAGTGAATCATAAGTTGGAAGAATAAATGGCTCAATCCAGCTGGCAAGGAAGTTCTTATTAGAGTTATTTTGAATGCCCACCCGTCTTTTCCATGTCATGTTTTGTTCTTCCAACTGGCTTGTGTTCTGAAATTGCTAAGTCGTGAGCAACATTCTAGTGGAGCAGAAATGCTTATCTTCAGAAAGGCTTACACTGGATTGACTAGGACAATATCACTTTGGCTAAGAAACATAATGGGTTGGGATTTCAAGATATCCAATTATTCAACAATGCTCTTATTGCCAAACAACTCTAAAAGCTGATCAGTGAGCCACACAGATTGGTCAGCAAGGTCCTTAAATCCAAATACTTTCCACATTCAACCTTGCTGGAAACTCAGAAAAGGCAGAATACATCATGTCTCTGGGGAAATTGGCTTACAGTCCTAAAAAATGTAAGCAATGGATGCATTTGGTAGTGAGAGATGACAAAAGCATAAAGGTTTGGGATCAAAACTGGACTCCCAACTTCAGGGGACATGAGGTAGAGTTGCTAGAAGGGAGAAATAGAGGAATAAATACAGTTAGGGATCTTATGAATTCTGAAGGCAATGGTTGGGATGAATAGAAAGTCAGACAAACATTCTCAGCTCAGGTTAGCCAAACCATTCTCACAATTAATACTATTGATCTTAATCAAGCTGATGAATGGGAATGGAAGCTTAATAAAAAGGGAGACTTCATTGTTCAATCCACCCATGCTCATTTAATAACTGAGAAATTCCTTCTGAGAGATCAACTTCAAAGTAGTGAAAGCCCTATTTGGGATACCAAAGTTAGGACTAGAAGCTGGAAATTAAAAGTCATGGCCAGGGTCAAACACTTCATTTAGAAGTGCTATATTGGCACACTCTCAGTGTACACTAATCTGAACAGCAGAGGAATCAACATGGACCCAATTTGTAGACAGTGTGGAGAAGAGCAAGGGACTGTTGAACATGTCCTTTTTCATTGCAAGTATGCTCAAATGGTTTGGACAATAGCTCCTTTATGCTGGACTGGCCCCACAGGCAATGAAACTTATAAAACATAGTGGTGGAACATCTGCCAACTCGACAAGTCAGAGACTTCTGAAGCCCGGATCCAGCTTTCGACGTATATTCTTTGGTGGCTGAGGAAGTCGCGGAACTTGTGGGTGTTTGAGACCACTAGACGGCCTGCCCACTCCCTGGTGCATATAGCAACCCAGCGATGGCAAGCTTTTTTGAATCAAGTAAGGTGACAGGCTATAGATTTTCCTTTTTTTAGTTTGATTAGTTATTCTCTTGGTCTGGTTTGTTCTGGTTTCCTTTTTTTTTTTAGCTTTGGTCTAGCTTTGTTGGCTTTAGCCAGAGGCTGTGGGTTCGATCGGGTTTGACTGTTGCAGCCTCTTTGGTTTGGATGTTTTGTTTGCTTTGAGTTTGGATTTGGGTTGTTGTTTCTCTAGCCCACATGTTAGCGGTGCTCCCATTCCCCGGCGTGTGGGTCTTGTTGTCGTTGTATCCTCTTGAACTTGTTGTTTTCTCTTAATCTGAATGGGTATGTCTATCGTTTGATTAAAAAATGAGCTTTTTTGGTTAATTAGAATTAATTTGAAAAAATGTTGTATATAAGTTATTAGTGAGATTTTAAATTTATATTAAAAAAATAAAATAATTAAAGTTGATTTGATGTAAAAATAAGAGAGAGATATGTGAAGTGATGATTAATTAAAATTGGTGAATAGTGAATTAAAGTTGATGTGATGTGTAAGAATAATTGATTACGTCATGATATTTTCGGCGTGGCTTATCCACGCCGTGTGTCGATTTAGGATTTCCTAGGCTTCGGCCTCTCTTCTTGTACGAAAAAAAGTTGCCAAACATTGAACTGATTAACTTGGATTTATGATCTGATTACGGATGTAACTCGGTTACTAAAATTATAAATAAAATCACGATATTTCATAATATAAACATGCATTTCATAGCATAAAAATATAAATAAAATCTTAACATTCCATAGTATAAGTATGCATTTATTATAAACTAAAACACCCATATAACGGCTAGTCTGCCCAATAATGACATTTGTGTTCTAGATATATAAATTAGTGTGTGAGTCACTCTAACTGTGTGGGTCAACTCGTCTTTCTTTCTGAACGAAAATTAATATTTATTTTATCAAACGTCATAATTATGATTGTGCTATTTAAAAAAAAAAAAAAACATGATATCTTTTAATAAAAATTGCAAGCTCATAAAAAAAAATATATAGGGTTATAATAGTTAAGCTGACCTAACATAAGACGAACAATTTTGCTATGAAGCCAATAGTTAACTCCACAATAGAGTCAACCTTCTATATACAACAAGTAAACCACACCATATTATCTGATTACTTAAATAAATACCAATAATTTTTTTAATATGTTATTGTTTACGTGTTGTATATAGAAGGTTGACTCGACTGTGGAGCCAACTGTTGACTTCATAGCAGCCGAAAACCGAGTTAGGCAAGAGTTTGCTCATTTTCTTTGTGTTGTCTATGAGTGATGGAGAGATAACCACAAACCAAATACTTATGCAATTTCCCATCATTTGAGGAGACATTTATGGACAACCCATAGATGTTTGGCTAACAAAAAAAATTAGGTAAACTTATTCTCAACAAATCAAACATTTTTTTCTTTTCATTTTTTGTTTATTTTTTTGTTTCTTTTAAAACAATCAATTTCGTTTTTTGTTCTCTTCCAAGGAAGGAAGACGATGTTGTTCATGATCATGATGGGCTCAACCCATCATCAGCAGCTCCATGCATTATATAATTATGTGCACAAAACAATATTATCAATTCCAAATGTAATTCCCAATTGTTAGAAGGCCAATAATCCTAAGGCACAACAAGGTTATATATTGCTATCTCATGTTTTCTTTAGTTTTATGTGCATTAATCTTAAGGGAGATTCTACAGTCCCGTTACGGAACTATTCCGTCAGAGTTTGTAACCGTTAGATGGACGGCTACATGATAGATCTAACGGTTACAAATCCCAACTGAATGGTTCCGTAAGGAGACTGTGGTTTATCTTTAATCTTAAATATGTAAAAATAAGAATATTTTGGCAAAATTTTTGTATGTGATTTTTGACTGACATATTTTGCAGGATGATGAGCGAAGTTTGCTCGCCTTACTTTGATCCTGACTTTGAAAGCCTGCCTGAGAGAATATATGGCCCAGCGTATTTTATTTTTTTATTATTATTTTTAGTATTTTTTCAATGAATATTTCGAAATAATTAAAAGAGAAAAAGTTTTTTTATTATATTTTATGGATTTTTCAGTTGTAGAGTCAACATAGACAATGAAAGCTTGGAGGATTGCACCATCTTAAAGGTAAAAAAACAAAATGTGAAAATCATTAAGATATTATTATTATATAATAATTAACAATTATTATTATTATTATTATTAAATAATAAAAATTTTTAGCTGGTGAAATTAATTAAATTGTGCAGATTGACAGCGTGAACAAGCAGGGGTTACTCTTGGAAGTGGTGCAGACTCTCACGGATATGAACTTAATTATATCCAAAGGCAATATTTCTTCAGATGCTGGCTGGTTCATGGATGGTATGATCCAAATATTTATTTATAGTTATATATATTATATATATATATTTTTTTTTTCAACTCATAATTAAGGAAAAAGCTACGGTCATGTTACGGAACCATTCCGTCGGGTTTGTAACCGTTACATCATAATGTAAATTCATAAAATGGTATCATTAGTCATGTCTAACGGTTAGGCATACATATTTTCTTTTGAACAAAGTCTTGATCTGTCATATTATATGAATATGATCCTGTTGGTGTGCTGCAGTTTTTCAAGTAAAAAATGAATTAGGCAACAAAGTCACTGATCAAAGGGCTATCAACTGCATTCAGCAGGTATAAGTATCATTGATATTTATTTATCTACTTCTTTTCTAGTGTACAAAAAGAAGTCCCAAAGCAAAATAAATTGAAATTGGACAGAGTTAAATGTTTTTCTTGGTACTAGTTGTTCAATGACTTGACAACAATAATTAAAAGAAACAAGCACACACACAGGCTATTGGTTCCAAAAGCTACACCAGCCTCAAGGCCAAGGCCCGAATAAGCCCGTCCGAGTCCCAGCCCGACGAGCCCAAAGCAATCGAGATGACCGGAAAAGACAGGCCCGGCCTGTTTTCCGAGATATCCGCTGCCCTGGCCGACCTTGGCTGCAACATCATCGAAGCCCACGCGTGGAGCCACAACGCTCTCCTCGCCTGCGTGGCCCACATTTCGAACAAGTCGAACGATACCCCTATCGATGACCATCGCCTCCACGTCATCGAGGACCACCTCACCACAGTACTCAGGGCCACCACCTCCACAGGACCAGGGAATCCGGGCCCACAAGAGGTGAAGCCCGCTGGCCTCCCCAGGGGCGAGCTGAGCACCACCACACGGGTCGAGAGGAGGCTCCACCAGCTCATGCTTTCGGGACGGGACTTTGACAGGCCAGCCTGGAGAACTGGTTCCCCGACCGTGTCCTCGGACAGCGAGGATGATGAGAGGAGGGCTAGCGTGTCGGTCGAGAGCTGTATTGAGAAAGGGTACTCGATCGTGACCATTGAGTGTAAGGACAGGAGACGGCTTTTGTTTGATACGGTGTGCACGCTCACGGACATGCAGTATATGATTTTTCATGCCTCCATAGATTCCTGCCGAGGCTACGCGTTTCAGGTGTGTAGTTTGTTCTTGAGAAAATCGTCACATCTGTTGTGGATGGGAATAAATCGTTAAATTGATTGATTGTCACAGGAGTATTTCATAAGGCATGTCGATGGTTGTGCACTAAACACCGAGGGAGAAAAGGATCGGGTCATAAAATGCTTAGAGGCCGCCATCGAACGAAGGGTCTGTGAGGTATGTTCATTTGAGAACTAAAATTTGCTTGATATCATTTATTTTGGAGGGATATAATTTTTTTCGATTAAATAAAAACAGGGCGTTCGGTTAGAACTCTCTGCATACAATAGAATTGGGTTGCTTTCGGACATCACCCGGGTTCTGAGGGAAAATGGCCTAGCGGTTGTGAGAGCAGATGTTGCGACTCAAGGGGAGAAGTCAGTGAATGCTTTCTATGTAAGGGATATTTCGGGGAATAATGTGGACTTGGAATCCATTAGGTCCATGAAGAGAGAAATGGGTGCAATAGATCTTGCTGTGATAAAAGAGACGACGCGTCCCCAAATGACCCCAGACGAACGCCCCAAGTTATCAATTGGCGAGATACTCAGAATTCAGATCGAGCGCATCTCAAACGGCTTCATTGCCATTAAATGAATATGTAGATATGTAACAAGATGCTTTTGTTATCTCCTTCTCGTTCTTTTTTTCTAGTTACATTTACATAAATTCAGATGTACATTGTCCAATATGATTAGTAATGTGATGTTAGTTCATGTAACAATCAATAGACCCTCGTCCTGCAAGCATAAGACTTAACTTCCACGTTGTATGTAAAGTAAATGCTTTGTGCCTGATATAAACACTATGCCTAGTTCAGCTCTGTTTCTTAAATCAGTTCACCTTTCTTCTTCCAAAAATTATACTTAACGGACCCTTAAATTTAATCGTCTAAGCCATACAGAGTGCAAGATCATATGAAACATGTCGAATCTCTTCACGGGCCGGTTCAAAACAAAATGCCTCCTCACGGCCCTCAAGCCTTCCTTCAGCCTCAGATACTCATCCTCCGTCACGGCCAGTAATATCTCCTTCAGCCGTGGGATATCCGAAACATTCACTTTTATGGAGAATGAATCCCACCTCAAAACATCACTAAACGGAAGCACATAGTAATCGGATAATAAAACAGGGACACATTCGGCATAAATCGACTCCACAATTCTGGGGCTAGCCACTTCATAACCACTCGGGCACAAGCAAAACTTGGATCGTAAAAGGGATTCATAGTAGTCTATGTTTTTGGGAAGATACTCATAAACATGCATGTCGGGATCTTTGTTTTTCCAGTGCTTGAGGAGGACCGGCCGAATGACGCCATGAAGGCCACCGGCAAAGAAGGCGAGATAGGGCCGGGAGGCATTGGCGGGCGGTGGGGAAATCAGCCTCGGGTTTACAGTGCCGCCATAGAGGTGGATTTCCGGCAGGCTCACATCCTTTTCAGGTCTGAATCCTTCAGACGAATTTGCATTGCACATGACACGGATTGACGTATTGTACAGAAATGCATCTCCTCGTGAGGCTTGAGGTGCCTGGAAATAAATTATTTGAAAATTTCATAACTTGATGAATGTAGGATAAGCATTTTATTGTGTCTTTAAAAATATTACCCAGTCGTGGCAAGAGAGCATGAAATGGTCGGCTCCCTGAGTCCGGTTCCAGAAAGGGTGTTTGGTGGAGACAAGTTTCACGTAATCGGATATAAACAGTCTGAGCGGGTCAAGATTGTAGGTGTTGGGCTTGTAAAGGTATCTGACCATCCATGTTACACTGAAGGGCATGAAGTAGACGTGGGCTGTTTTTGGGTCGTTTGTCCTGAACCTGTTGTTTCCACTCTCGATCTCGTTTATGAACCGTCCTTCGCTGGTGTAAATGTCTTTGCATGGCCCGTCGTGTACTATTGGTAGCTCCCCTTCTTGATACACGTACACCTTGAATCTTTTTTCCATTTCCTTATAACTCCTGCAATGTAATTTCAGTTAAACATGGGCGGGGATGTTTACTCGCAATTAAATATTATACTCGCATCGATATTTAACAAGATCACGATAGTCGTAAACTGTTTAAGTTTATGAATTTCACATAAGAGCCACTTAAATGGTGATTATCTCCACATTTTGACCCAGTTATGGATACATGTAAATGCAAAGTCCATGTAACAATATGACGTATCAACCCTTTTGTTATCATCGCCTATTTTTAGAGAAGGCATATAGAATTTAATACATCGGGCAAGAAAAGTTAAAGAAGGTGTGTTTTCAAATCCTTTGGATTTCCCTCTCAAAATCATAACTTTAGCTTCTTATTAATATTTATTCGATCAAAGTGCAAAAGGCAAAAAGAATTTATTAAATCGGTCCAGAAAATTCAAGGAAACGTAATTTCTCTCATATTTTATCCTTTTCCCTTTGGAGCTAAAACTTTTAACCTTCATCAATTTTGACTTTGAAAGGAACCTTTCTTATGGATATCTATGGCTTTTAATAATCATAAAAGTAATACCTCAGCTAGAGTTGTTTTCTCAAAGAAAAAGATATTTTGAAATGAACAACTTAATATGGGGAAATGCTACGGTTCCATTACGGAATCATTCCGTTGGGGTTAGTAACCGTTAGATCAACTATCCCCGACGGATTACATGACAATCTAACGGTTACTAACCCCGATTGAATGGTTCCGTAACGGGACCGTAGCATTTCCATTAAGTGATGCAACAAAATGGTGGCCGGTAGAGTCATCCATGAGAAATGTTGGACACAAAAAAAGCAATGAGTATTAATGAGGCAGGATTTTCAGTGTTTTCTACAATCAAAAAGAGAGAAACATGAGTGTTCGCACTACAAAACACCCCATGCTTCATTTAGAAGACTGCTCTTTTATGAATATTTCTCTCTTAAATAAAAGCCATGAGCCTCCCAATAACACGTGGTATGTATAATGATCTGGAAAATCATGCAGAGTCTATCTTAGAAGGGAAGTCCCAACCATTATCTTTCAAAACAACTTCTACATTTACACAAAACACGCGATTTGCGATCGATGGAAAAACTCAGAAATATCGAATGAGGAATAGGCATGTGTGATCACTGATTACGGAGCTAATGCAGTAAACTAAACGTAATTGTGCGCGAGTTTTCTTCATGCTTAACGCATCTTCCGTACCTAAATATATATAGCTTTGCATACTAACGGAACTCAAGACCGTCACTAATTCATGATTGTACGAATACGAGAATTACTTACTGATAAAAAGCACCGGGATTCCAATAGATTGCTGAGGACAGAACATCATTGTTGTGGATGATGACTGATTTGTTTCTGGTAGAAGCTGCTTTCCTAATCAATGCTCTTGATGTGGCTAAACCGTGCTCCAATTTACTATTACTTGCTATACTCTGTATCCATCATAATAATTATCAGTAGAAAAACCCAGGAAAATCATCATAAATTCTTAATACCAATCAACGGATAATTAATCATAATCACAGGAATCCAGTCAACAGCAACAACACAACAAGAGCGATAAAAGAAATTTTTAATTAAAACCAAATCAATCAAACAGTATAAATCCAAATTTCACCGACTTCAAAACAAAAAATTCCGGCAATCTGAAGCCACAGGCTACATAATCACTCTGAAAACGATAATCACGTGATCACACAAACTTGATCGAGCTCGTATACACAACAACGAATTATAATTGCATACATGTATACAGTATACATACAAATCCGATTACACAACTCAGATTTGAATTTCCATGACTGTGTGATTCGCAGAACAGCATACAAAATCCGAAATCCTCTACACAAAACACACACGCACACACACACACACACACACACACGTGTTTATGTGTGTTCGAGAGATGCTTACGCTGACAGCCGGCTTGAATCTGGTCGAGAAATCGGAGGAAATTACAGCTCTGGACTCATCACCTCGTGAGCGCGCGGCCGCGGTGACCAGCTCGACCGCCGGAACCTTGAGCTCTGCTGCTGTACCCGAATAGAAAAACCCGAATCCGTTACCCGGGCCCGAGAAGTATCCCCAGACGACGATGACGGCCATGGACGCTGCAAACAGCACCGCGATCGGCGAAACTGAACCGCCGCAGCCGCCGCCGGCATTCTTCATCGCCGCCTTTTTCTCCCAGTGCGCGTGCGTTTGTGTGTGCGTGTGTGTTTTCACTTTTCACGCTAATGGCGAGTCCTGAATAGTGTGTGAAGTTGTTGAGGATACGGATATATATGGAAATGGGACGAAAAGGCGGGGAATGAATTAGCAGTGAAGCACACTGTGTGTTTGTGTGTGTGAGAGAGAGAGAGAGAGTGTTCAATGTTATACAAATATTTTAGCCATGTCAAAGGGAATGTGTGTGATTGCCTCTATTTAAATTTATGGGTTACCCAAATCTCACCTATTGATAGTATTATCACCAAATAATCAATTTAGGAGCAAATATTTATTTTCAAACATTCATAACATACATTTCATGACATTCAATTTAGGCAAATATAATATTTAATTTTAAGTATATTCCAATTTAAATAACACATCAATACAGTCTAAATTGAGAAATATACAATAATTTAAAAAATAATTTGATATTTATTCTACCTTTTTTTTGAAGCCATAGAAATATTATATATAAAAAACGCACAAGAGTGCAAAAAACAGCTTAAGGCTGAATAAAACAATCAAGAACTAGAAATTATGAGAACGGATCGAAAGACCGCCTAGAATCCACGCTAGAATAAAACACTCGACACTCAACTCAAAAGACACTTAAACACAAACTACCCAGCTCCCAACAGGAGAATAGAAACGCTCCCAAAAGAAGAATATAAACGACCCCCACAGGATAATCAGTAGAGAGGCCAACGGCCCAAATAAAAAACTCAAGCACTACCAAACTATACGAGAAACAAACAAACTAAAAAAACAAGACAACTACACAAAAAAATGTATAAACTCATATTTATTCTACATGACTATATAATTCCAATATTCACCATAAATGCGAATATAAAAAAATATTATCGAATATATTTATCTATTATTTAATGAGACATTTTAATTTATAAATATTAATAAATATTGTTTACCCGCGCATCGCACGGAATCGTACTAGTTATATATAGCTTTCCACTTATTTATTTTTCTATTAGCTAAAATGAATAACCATTTGTAGCTGATTATTGTGTTAGCATTTTGTAAATAAATGTTTAATAATATAAACTTGTATAACTATTTTAGAAATCTTATATTGCTATGTTATTCTATTAATCTCCTCTATTTAAAACGTCCCTCTATTGATTTTTTCAGAATAAACTTTTCTTTTTTTTGGTTCAAAAAGTTAGGTAATCAAATAATTTTTTTACCAAATAAAATAGTTAGTAAGTTTAATAGGTCAAATCTTTAAAATGTCGCTACTCTATTGAGATTTTTTTGAATGAAAATTTTGAGTTAAAAAGCTAATTTAATTAAGTTTTTTATCAAGATAATTAGCAGATTTGAAGTTTAAATTTTAAATGAATTTCAACATGATAATTTCATATCAATACCTAAACATCCAAATCCAAACAAGTCCATGATTTTGGGATTGAGGCCAAGTTTCTAATTTATTGCTATTTAGGCATATTGTTGACCAGA